TCGGGACATCGATTTTTTCTGAATAGTCCCGATCCCGAATGTCCCGTTCCGAAAAATTTTCGGGACAATCCCGAATGTCCCGCGGGACGGGACAAACGGGATTTTTTGGGATTCGGGACTGTCCCGCAGTCCTCTAGTCTTTTCCCAGGTAAAATGATTTAATCAAATGAAATGCGGGTGTGGGTGTGGATGCTCTGAAAAAAAAATAAGGTGCCATATGAAACCATTTTTGCAACGAAAGCGAAACCTTTTTTGAGGTTTCGTAAAAACCCAAGATACGTCCAAAATGATCGTCCGAACTTTAGGAGTCTTTTTCTAAGATTTCAAAGGTATCATACGAAACCCTAAAAAGATTTCGTTTTCGTTGCAAAATTCGAAACGTTTTTAAAGTTCCGTACTATGTGCGAAACTCCTTTTAAGTTCTGTACCGTGTTTGGAACCTTTTTAAGTTTCGTACCGCACACGAAACCATTTTTGGTTCTGTATGGTACCTTATTATTTTGGAGAATGGTTAGGAACATAGTGAAGACAGATAATTGTTCCGTTTTTGTAGAATAGATGTCTAGAAAAAAATATACATGTATTTAGCTCATAGACAAATAACCCAGCACCATTGTTCATCTTCAGTGTACACCTAATCGACTTTGGGGAAAAATTGAGCCTACTCTAGATTCGAATCGCTCCGCCGTCCATGAAGGTTGACATACATGTGAATACGCAGCTTCAGAGACTACATAGCATCTTTGCTATTCGCAGCAACACATGTCTTCTGAACTGTTTCTTTCTTCAGATTTCACATCAGCAATGGTTAAAACTCTAATGACAACTTCAGCGCTGCAACCACTCCCACACATATCCACACTGACATCCTCACCAAAAGCCTACACTCAACCTATACCAACAACCATACCCACACCGTCACACACACTCTATTTAGTTATTTACACCAAACCCGCAGGATGTGGGTGTGAGTGCGGGTGGGTGTGTAGGTGTGGGTGTGGGTGGGTGCGCGTGTGGGTGTGATCTATGCCTTCACACCCAGACGTTCATATCCAGACATTCATACCCACACCCACACCCGCCACCCTTAGTAGCTTAAATTCAATCTGTCAGGACCTAAAATGGCCCGTTAGTGTGTTTATGCAGTTTTTGCAATATTTGATGGATATATTGAATTCGAAGCTATATTTAACTTTTATAGTCAGAAAGAGGAAAGCCTTGGTTACAAAATAGCTCTAAACAATTAATTTGGTCCCATGAAAGTTATGACAGAGAAAAGCGATTTTTTTCTCGATTGGGTGGGTGAAACTCAGTGATTTCTTTCATCTTTCTCTTGAAAATCCTACAGCGATACCAGCTTCAAAACTTAATAGTATCTTTGGTAGATGACCTAGAGAGTAAGCAGTTTAAAAAAATTATCAAAATCCGTTGAATGGAAGCTGAGATATAAACGTTTTACTGTTGACGATCCAACAGTACAATACGAGCGCAATTTGCCCATATGAATGATTGCTTTTTTTCTTTTTCTATCCTGTTAAGATGATTTTCTTATCAAAGTTCTTTTTTCAACATATTTTCAATAAATTATTGTTGATACTAAATAAGAAACGTTTTCGAAAGCATTCGAATCAACTCATCAATCACATCGTGACTTTGTTTACATACAGGTGTTTGCAAAAATGCTTTCACACAATTCAGTTTATCTTCCCCAGCGTTCTCATAGTGTATGAAACAACAAGGTGTGGGTGTGGGTGTGGGTGGGTGTGGGATGTAGGTGTGGGTGTCGGTGCCGGTGTAGGCGAGGATGTGGTTGTGTGTGGGCACGGGTGCGGTGTCGGTTTTTTCCCACAGCAGCACCAACCACACATCTACAATCACGCTCACGCTCAGCTACACCCACACCTACGCCCATACCCACCTTCACCCACACTCACCCACACCCATGGCCACCTCTACTCACATCCACACACTCACACCCACACCCACTCATACCAACACCCAAACCACACGCACCCAAAGAAGCATTATTATTTTCAAAATAAAAATGTTTGAACTATCACGAAGGATTAGAAGGACAGGAGCAAATAGGAGCACAAATATAGATAGAAATGAACAACGACGTTGTCATATCTATTTGAAACATGAAATATTTCATTGAGAACATTCTTTTGTTTGAAATTTTAACTAATATCCGTTTTAAAATAAAAGTCAAGCAATCATTTGTCGAGGAACTTAAGGATGAGTATGAGCTGCTTTTCCTTACCGACGTCCTTCGTCACTCTCGATAGCCGGAAGCAACGATGAATGCAAGTGGTGCTTCACCCGTCAGGTCACCAATAATAAGCGCCTTGAGTTCCATATATGATGGACACTGATCATCAAAATTAACCAACGATTCGTGATAATGGGGATAAAATTTGCGTCCCAACATGTAGATAAAGCCAAATTTCTTACTGTAGCTACGTTCTAGATGATATGCAGGCGCAAAGCCACCTTTGAAATTAGTCGGAAAAACTGTCCATTCAATTAGTTTAAAAACGGCATTAGGTTTGATTGGATTATCATAATAGTCGATAAATGAGTAGTATTGTTGTGCCGAAACGATCCATTGATGGCGTATTGAGAATACATCGCGTGCAAAACCTTTTCGATCGAGAGCACTACCACCGAGCTCTAAATGCACTTCTTTAATCTTCGCTACAAGACGGTCAGCATCGGCGTGGTCCCTTGGCTTGGAAATCAGGTCGATATAATCTTCGCGTCCATCAATCGATAATACTGCCAAAGCCTCTGTGCATTTTTCAAGCACATCATCCGGTATGAATTCTGTGTCACCATCATCAGTCAGATTTTCAAGTTCAGCGATAAGCAGATTCACGTCAGGATGATTGGGTTTTTTTTGCTGCTCATCACTTCTCAAACTTCAACAAAATAGCGCACAAATATAGCTATACGAGATGGATCAATTGTGATAATTGAATATTGTATGTTAGCAAGTTCAGTGGGTTATTTAGTGCGTTAATATTAATAGTTAACGAAAAAGGATCCACCAATAATAAAATTTGTCCTGTTTTACTGTTCGATACTTCAAGTTATCCCTTTAGTCCTTTGGATTTCTTTAGTACCTTTGATCACTTTAGTTCCATTAGCAAGCTCTGATACCCTCACCTACATCCTGAAAAAAACTTTTCTATGGACCTATGTATTAATTATCCTTATTTGAAATCTGCTCATCCTCAGTTAGTAAAATTGCATTTAATCTAAAGAGAAACGTTGAATTTTGTTTATCTTGCCACCTTTTCACCGAATTTTTATGGTAACAGTCAGATAACTTATGCTCTCTTATATAGTCATATGTGTGTTTCGAAGACTGAACTTACATGAGACAGATCAACAAGAGCGAAAGCCCGAAATACATCATGTCCACATTTTAAAAAGTTAACATTGATGAGATTTCATCAGCAAAGCATTCTTATAAATGCTGACGTCAACTTCTTTTTTCCAACTATGCTTGAAATATGTCCAACTCCACTTTCAGCTTTCTTCCACAATATGTTTTTTCAATGACACTTTGTTGACATATGAAGTGAAAACTGAGTCATGTTTATTTCAGAAGCAAAGTTCTTTTTTTCTCTCATGTAAACGAACGCTGTGAGTGTGATTCGAGGAAAAAAAAGAATGCTAACACCCATAACTTTCATGCAAATTAATATAAGCCGTGTTACAATGAAGGGTGTGTGGGTGTGGGGTGTGGGTGTGGGTGGGTGTGTGGTGTGGCTGTGGCTGTGGTGTGGCTGTGGCTGTGGGGTGGGTGTGGGGTGGGTGTGGGTGTGTAGGCGTTCGTTTTATCTAATTCCTGTTCAGAACCACACCCACACTCACACACCCACACCCACACCCATATGAAAATCAAGGTATGGATCTTTCCTGGAGAAAATAAAATACAATTAGATGTATGAATACTTTTTTCGGACTACATGTGTCTAGGAATGTAATCTGAAAAAAAGGACTACAAGAATCATACTTAAGTAATTTTCGTTCTTTGTTTTTTTGTCGTTAGATACCAGATTGGCGAAAACAACATCAGAATGACGTTATGATGTTAGTTATTGCACAATTTTGTATTTAAATGATTTCATCAATCACGTCATATTCAAAACGTAGAATATAGATACCAGCGACGAATAACTTCGCATTATCAAAAGGCGAGTGAAACATTATCTGTCGAATATCGTGTACTTTTACTTTCAATTTTCAATATTTCATCAGTAACTTCATCTATGGCTCGTGTTTTGAGCAAGGTATCAGAAGCAAACAAGAACTTTGGTGACGAATGTAATCAGCTGGATGTTGACGTCAAAGATCGCGAAGGTAATACATACGATCAACCAACACAGTGTCTGTCTGAAGTCTCTACTATACAAATGAAGAGTGAAAAATCTATAAGACTATTTTCTCAATTGGGTTAGAAGTCAAAACGAGCTGTAGATATCCATGGTCTAAGATTTTCATAATCTTATATTCGAATGTATCGTTTGATAGCTTACACAAAACATAAAATAGTAGCTTGCATCGAACCATATAAGTCGAAATCAAATGATGAGATTGACTTGGTTGATTCAGTTCAAATGCTCTAAATCTACGATATTCTGTTTGTTAAATAACTAAAATAAAATCGACTTTTTAAGGAGTTTGAAAATTCTACGCATGATTTACTGTCAATATAACAGAACCTGCTTCGTTGGATAGCTCTCAGATTAAGTGAAGAGTTTGTGTAGAAAATAAAGTTAACCATTCTTCCGTAACGAACTTGTCCTAAATTTCCAAAGTACTTGTTTCTATGCATTGAAAAGTTCTTGTGTAGGTTTGGCACACTGCAACAATTCTACTTTAAATCGATTGAGAAAGACCGATGTACAAATCAGGTTTGATATATTCATAGTAAATACATTTTTCTTTATTACATATCAATTATTTGAAGTGTTCAACATGTGCAAGAGATGCTGAAAAAATCGTCTTCATTTCGAACTCAAATTCTTTCTTCGTCGACACCAATCATTTCATCCGATGATAAAGATGAATTTACAATCAAATCCATATCCGGTGGTTATATAAATCATTCATTTATGATCAAAATCAATTCTCAAGAGAATAATGATAGAAGTCCACATGTATTTTTTGTTAAAATCAATCTCAATATACATGCCAAACAAATGTTCGAAGCTGAGCTCATTGGTTCCCATGCACTTCGTGAGGTATGTACACCACTCATTCGTATTCCTCAACCTATTGTCAGTGGGAATCTTTATGAAATTGACAACTACAATCAAGGTGGCTGGTTTCTTGCTGAATACATACCAATGACAAGCACTAAGCAGAAGAAAACGGATGAACAATATCGTAGATTTGCCCAAGCAGTAGTCAAAATGCATCAGATATCAGCAGAGAAGCATAAATTATCTGTCAATAGTGGTCTATTTGGATTTCATATTAACAATTTTTATATACATACCGAACAAGAAAATGCTTGGAACAGTGACTGGTGTAGTTTTTACCTCGAACAACGTTTAAAACCAGTCTTATTGAGAATGAAATGTGACACTGATTTTATCAATTCTTATAACAAAAATATGGAGTTAATTTTGCTTTGTGATCGACTTATTCCACACGTGCCATGGTTTCTCAAAACAATTCAAGCTCAAATTCAACCATGCCTTCTTCATGGTGACTTAAATGACAGAAATTGGTCCTTTGACGAAACAGGCAACATGGTCATGTTTGATGGAAGTCCATTTTTTGGTCCGTACGAATTTGATATACATACAATGCCGCATAAGTTCATTCAAGCATATTATGAAGCTATTGGAGGTTCTATTGATGGATATGAGATCCGCTTCGAGCTCTATAATCTTGTCAGACTCCTTCGATGCATCGTCGACATTGGATACGATCATTGGAGATCACAGACTGTTGAATGTCTCAGGAGGCTGTTGACACATTGCGGTGCCTGGGCATCACCATTGGTCAGATTTCCCTGTGGAAGTAAAATACCTTTAGACAAGATCAATCGTCCCACGAATGTTGACAGCAAGAAAAAGAATGCGATTCTTGTCTATGGTGGTAGCTTTTGTCCAATTCATTTGAATCATCTTGCAGTAATTGATTTTGTTGCAGAAGTTCTCGAGAAGCCACCGTACAACTTCGAAATTCTTGGAGGTTACTTTTGTCCATCGGCTGCGAGTTGGGTGACGAAAAAATTACGAGGAAAAAATCTACCCGATGCACACAGAGAAGCTTTGCTCTTACTTGCCACAGAAGGCACTCGTTGGATGGTCAATCGAAGTTATTGCTCGCCGAACAAACTCTCACAAGCTATTTTACAGGAACTGAACAATCTCTTTGGCGAAGAATTCAACATTTCAGTCGTTCATATTTGTGGTACCGATGCTATTGAAAATAATACAAGAAGAGTTTCTATGCAATATCCACTTGCAGTTGTCGATCGACCTGGATATGATAGTGAAACTCCATGGAAAGACTTTCTTGCAAATACAACACCAGACAACAGAGAGCGACTGATTTGGATCGCACGTTGGACAGGTGAAATGCGAAGTTCGACCCAAATTCGACAACTTCTCGTGAATGCTACTTCGAATCATGTAGATGTGCGCCAGTGTCTTCGAGATCTTGTTCCAACTTCTTGTATTGATTACATTTTGGAACACAATATAGGACATTGGTTCAGATAGATCAAGTTTTTGTTAAAGTTTTTGTTTTCTATCGAAATTGTATGCATCCTTCAAGTATCTTTATCGAACACATTGCTGAGAATGGTTTTTCATCTTTACATATGTATACAAGTTGTGATTTGATGAAGTTCTGGAAGATGTACAAATATTTGTGTAGGTATGGGGTATGAGTGTGGATGCTTGTCTTCTTTTCACAAACACCCACACTCTTAAGCTACAATAAATTCTATAGCGTTTGAAATTAGACAGTCACAGAGACAGTGGAGAAAAGTCCATTTAAAGTAGGCTAAAAAAACTTGCAAATGGCGATGAAAGAAAGAGCTACTTAGAATAGTGGCAAATTTATGAAGGGAGCGAAGGGATAGATTTCTGCTTTCAAGAATGTTTTTGGGATTCTTTCTAATCAAAAATTAACGAAAAATGAGTTTAAATTGCCATGGATGAGCTCAGAAAGTGTATTCTGCCTGTAACCTCAAAGTGCTAAGAATTGTTTGATAAGGTTGTTGTCTGCTGTGCAACAAGCAAGATGCGATTCAGTAGCGGCTTATGTACGAAAAGACTTTAAGTAAGATTTTCTAACCTATCTAGCGTTACGATATTGTCAAACTACCTACTGTTTTGTAAGACACTAGACGATAAAATGAATTACTAAATTTTGTTTTAACGCTTACTCTTTATGGTGTCATCCAACATAAGCGTAGATTTGTCCCAGAATTTGTGATAGTGACTGTCACTGAAGGCATTTAAATCTTCGCTTTGTTCGTGACAACAAACAACTATTTATTCAATCTTTCTTCATACTGTCGAAGGCTGTCTTTCACAAAAATAGACTGAGTTTAGCCTTGTCGAGTCTAAGGACTTCCCGACTATGGGCTGAAATGTTTCAAAATAATACGGTCATATACATGCGCCATCTAAATCTGGCTGAACGTAGCATTTAGCAATGCGTGAGATAACTGTTGTTCAAAGGATTTTCGCTTACCAAATATAAACTCAGAATGAGATCTATAAAGTTTCTTCAAATGTCTCAGTCTCTGCAAGTCTAAGGGCTCCACCACCTCTGCAGTCACATACAAAATTAATGTGAACGTTTATTGTATTCAACTTTAGTTGTTGGTCCAATTGAACATACACATATGTTCGTATTCAAATGTTTTTTACTGTGAACAAAAGGATAAAAGATACATCAATGAATACTTGAAATAAAGACTTTCCTTCAAATTAAATAGAAGGAACTATGTCTGAGCATTTTAGATATTTTTCTTTTGGTATATATTTTTACAAAAAAATATCTGTTGATGATCGTTGAAGATACAATTTATGCATCCACTTCGGTAGTTTCATTATAATTATTAAAACATATCAGGTTATCGAATAGACACAAGAATGTACGCTTCAAATCATCAAGCTCCTGAGAATTCCTATCGTCTACTAGTAAGAGAATACTGTGAATTTAACACATTCATTAGGAAAAACAATGAACTATTGTTGAGTTAAATATTGAGGAAAATCGATTTTCAGGGTGTGGGTGTTTTTCTCTGCTCGCACACCCACACCCACACCCACACCCCACACTCACACCCACACCCACACCCCACACTCACACCCACATCCACACCCACACCCACACCCTCAAGAATAGCAAATAATGATATAAAGCATATGGACAAATAGTTGCAAGTTAAAAAAACAAATTTCATAAGGGATCACTCTAATTTACGAGAGATCACTGATTCATTGTCATTCTATGTCGATGCAAATTTAATGAAAAAAAAGCGAAAACAAGATAAAGTCAGCAATATGTACACCTCAAAAAATGTTTAAGTTTGCTAGTTCATGTCCTTCAGATTATCCATCAGCCATTAAAGACGAATGAGATTGTTGTTACCATAGTATTGATCGAGGAAGACGGGATAAAAGCGTCGAGCATGCGACACAACCATAATAGTCAGCGTCAGTTGAATTTTTCGCCATAGTCTATGACCGCAACGAGTCAAAGCGATACATCAGTGGTGTCATACCTAATATTCTTTGGATTAATTAGATATGGCCTGATTTTTCCTCAAGGAAGACGGGGTAAAGTCATTTAGCAATAGAAAAGGAGAACATATCTTTTTTTACTTTTACATTGATCTTTTTTCCGTGAACTCCGGACTTGACCGTTCTGCGAATGAGTGATTAATCCGGCACTAAATCACGGTGGCTACCGGCAGCTCAGAGGCGCCTCCCACAATTACAAATAACAGCAGGACCCTGTAGACATCTCATTAGAGATATCCCCGGTAAGCGAAAGTCGGTGACACGTACACACGTTCATGAAGCGAATCATGAGATGAGTTTCTTCGTCGGAATCTGTCTTGAGATGAGAAAGACGGAGTAAGGCCGGACAGAATTCGGCGGCTTTACCCCGTCTTCCTCACCACAATGCCAGCTATTACTAAAAGAGCCTAATTCATGAGAACAAGAATATTGATATGATCACAAAGAATATTAAATTTTATTTTAAATCAAGACAGATTACAACAAGGTACAAGCTGTTAATAATGGTACATTTATTTTAGGAGTTGTTTCCTAGATTTCTCGATTATAATATTAACTGCTCACGAATATATTGAGTGTATTGATACACAGTTCGCATGTTTCATAATTAGATATGGCCTGATTTTTTCAACGAGAGAGATGGTTTCCGTGACATCTTGGCTTTCTTTGGCTCCGTCTGAATGAGAAAAAGAAAAATCAAAAGACGAGCGTTATACGAGACTGACCAGCAATATGAAATAAATGCAATCACTAAAAATCTTACTGGTGATAGTTGCGCTTGTTTTTCACTTGCTTTATATTTTCGAGTCCGTGGTTGAGTCTGTTGAACAGATTGACATGTACCAGCACGATCATCGATTGATAGATGTTCAACTGTTTCGGAACTGGACTGTTGAGGCTTGCTTCCTGCAAAGTTGAAAATAATGATACGTACCATCATGCCGTTTAGTGTCTTAACTGCACGAGATACTATTTACCTCTATATTCCGTTAGTGTTACTGTTTGACAGCAACAATTCGTTGGAATGAGCATGTTATTTGCATTAATAAGCATTATCTGGAAACGCATTATCGATTGATCAAGATGATAATACTCGATCATATCTTTCGCATTGGTTGTGCATGTGTAGTGAGTCTCTGTTATCATGATGAAATGAAAGACTTAAAAGAAAAACTAATGGGTATTCTGGGTTACCCGTGAATACGGCCTTCGACGGATTATAAATAGCAAATCTATTAATCGTTTCAAGCTTGTCTTGCTTGACTGTAATCATGACTAAATTTTCGATTCTACAAACAGAGAATTGAGCATCGTCATTATATTTGACAATAACCTACTCAAGATATCCTTTGAACATATCGTCTTCAGCTATTTTAATATATATTGAACCATCATGGACTTTAGCTTTTCTGCTCTTTATCCATATTGGATATAGGTGACAGAAGATAATGCCAGAGTCCCCAACAGTTGTGCGTGTAATTCGTATCCAAGGAACGTATCCGTTTTCGTGACAAAAATTCCAAAGATCAGATAGTTTAGAAAGCTTAATGTTTTAATGAAGAGACAACAATGATGAAAGAATTTGATCGATTTGACAAATACTCACATCGATTCGAATGTGCTTACCATCAGCCGCTTTGGTGTAGCGTAGTGATTTTTGATTATCCTTTTCGTACCGCACATGCTGGTCGGAACAAGGCTGTACACGTACGGTGATTGGATTTTCTATATTAACGTGAATGATTTCTTCTTGAGAACTGCCAAAGAAATTTGGAGGTTCTACGACATCCTGTCATCGACAACAAACTTTACTGGTCGTGAAAAATATATTCTAAATTGGTTTACCGTTGATTTGATTATGACTTCTTGTTTTTCATTAGTAGGACAAACATGCTGATCATGCTTGTCGTATGTATCGACTGGTGTTGAAACCGTCTCATCGTTTGAATGTATCGGTGCCTCTTGTGATTTTGACACGTTCGCATCAATGGGTAGTGTAAAAGCAGACAATTCATCGAGATCGATATCTGCAAAAAAAGTACCATTCTTCGCCAAAGAAATCAATGGTCAAAACAAAAACAAATTCTCGGTCAAATCTATTGTATTCCTGTCGAAAAAGTACTATCACTATTGCTACCTTTCAGATCACCGAAATCATTTGATAACGACGAGTTATCAATGGCCGAGCGGAGATCATCGTCGTCTACAAAAAATAATAAACAGTGCGTTTTTTTTCTAAGGTGAGCTTCCCTGTACCGATGTTCGATATTGGATTAGTGTCAATGGTATTCACTAGCAACGTAATAAAATATTTGTGTAATTGATAGAATGCTGGCTTACTCACCCCAATCACTGGAATTGAATGACGTTGGTAAATCAATATCGTCAATTTCGTTGAATGGTAAGTATTCCATCTTACTGTTTGAACGAGAATAAAAGCAAATGTTAAATATCTCTGCTTCTGATGTCATGGTACCCAACGAAGCATTATCAATTTTTGGTTATTTATTAAATGACAGTAATAGGAAAAATGTAGATCTTTTCACTTAGTGGCGTCAGCTCTGAAGTGGTACGTGAAAGTGTGAAAAAAGGTAGGGACTTAAATCAAACTCTATCGAATTGTGTGGAGTTTTCTTAAGATACGCAATTTATAAGAATTTTTCTTTGTATGATGACAACAAAGATAGCAAAACGTGGATGCTTCGATAAACGCATCGATTGCAGAAAAGACGGATCTACCAAACAATACGTGAAGAACCGTTTCTTTGATGGGCAAGTCCATAGATAAGAATTCTCTGAGGGACTAACTTTTTATGGTGAGACTAAACATGGCCAAACAATTTTCCACTGAGAGAAAATAACATGACCATACCCCACTCGACAAGATTTCTTTTCTGTGTGGGCCGGGTTGAGTCGCTTCGGTCACACCCTTTCCTATGTTTATGCCGATAGACATGCGA